CAGCATTACAAAAACTTTTTAGCATAAAGAATTATTAACGTTACAATGTGACAATCATAATCACAAAAAATGAATAAACGTGAAATCTTTGGACACTTAACAAGAAGAAATAGAGTGGGAAAATTTTGTGCAAATAGTAACTTTTTGCCAAGGTAAAAGTAAAAAAAATAAAGCGACTTTCGTTTATGAGAAAAAGTAAATTTGAAGATAATTTAATAAGATTTAACAAAGAAGAAGGATGGAATTATTGTTTTATAACGAATTTAAAAAACAAGAGTGTAAATGCTTATATTTTTGCGATTTTTTAAGGAATATATTAAGGTAAGAAAAAAGAAATAAAATGTTGGAGTTGTCAAAACAAATTATGTAAAAAATATCTAAACCGAAGTCTTCATTAAGAGGTAGCATTTTTGACAAATTCAATATACCAATCATTTATACATTTAAAATATTAATTGTGGTCTAACGATATAACTGAGCAGAAAAAAAAGAAGATCTTAAAAATAACTCAAAGCAACTAAAGATCCTTTTAAAGATGTATTACGTTTGATTTTCATATCGATAAATTCAGTGGAATTGATATCATAATAAAATCAGATGAAACTATGTGTGGTAATCAACTACACACTTCTTCTACTTCCTTAAATGTTTTTACTAATCAGCTTAATCAGATGATGTCTCCTCATAAAATCAAAAAGAGGAAAAATAAAATTACTGATTATGATTGGTTAGTTTAAAGCATTTAAGAAAAAACTTTAATTAAATTATTATTATGGGTAAACATGTTTATTTTAAAACTAAATTTTATTCAAATAACTCCTCTTCCTCTTCGCTGGTCCAAAGGTACCTAAAAGCGGGCCAGCGAACCCGAGGATACGACAGATACATTGGCTGACCTTAGATACTCATCGAAATAGATGAAACAGTGGTAAATTCAAATGAAAGGGTCATCGGGGTCGCTCAATTGACAATAAATTTGATGCCATTTTCACTATATATAAAAGCATATTATAAAATTAGCGCTTGTAAAATATTGCTGATAAGGAAGCGGGAACTCTCATTCCTATTCTTATTTCTTAGTTGTCCAGTTCATCTATTATCTGGACAAATGAACAAGAATCTTATAT